TGATCAGTTAACAAAAAGTATTATGATAATCACCCCCACAGAAGGGTAGGAGTTGCATTAAACACTTAAATCATTCTAAGGGTTGTGATTCTTTAAAAACACTAACCTACAGTCATATTTATTTGTTTATTTAAACACATAAATATTGGTACAAAGGGGTACCAGATACATATGAGCCGCACAAATCTCATTTGATTTGTGTGACGGCTATGATACTACCTGGGTGCCCAAACCGAAACAGGTGGTTTCCTGAGGGAGCCACAACCGGAGCCTTCGACCTAAAGGTCTGATCCACAAGGCAGTGGAGCATCGTGACGAGATGTTATCCCATGGTAGATCGTGACCAACGATTGATTCATTCGCCATTTGTTCCTTCAGGATACTGGAGCCCATGTGCACCATTGGTTTGGGATCGAGGTTTTCCAACTCTCCTGCGTGTCCACCTACTCAACATTCGCTTTTCGTTCTCTCAGTTTGCTAAACAACAGTAATGCCACGAGAAGGCAATGAGTAGGACTTCCCTGTCAGAGGTTATATACGCTTCGCCATCTCAGTATTGAAATGCAGAACATTCAATTCTCAATGTTTGACTTGTTTAGGCCAATGAGTTAGAGTTCAGTCGCTGATCAACACAAAAAGTGACTTGAAATACATGACACTAGTCACAATTTAGTGATCAATCAGTTGTAAAAATTTCAGTCCCAATCACATTATGTTTTAATTCTAGGAGATGATAAAACAGTTATAAAATCAATATCAAGCGTTCAAGTACTAAACGTCACGTCAATTTCAACATCATTCAAATTATTGATTTATAAACATAAATAACTTGTTCGGTTATTAATATATGGTCGAATTTATGAGTCAATTTAAGCTAGACCACTATTAAAAACCTGGAAGAACTGGACAGCTGTTTCGTCTTAGTATGAGACTTCCCAACAATGTATATCCACGTGTATATCCACACGTCAGACTTGAACCCAGGATTCCTGATCTCATATTCATTCATCTTTTTAGAACTCATAATACTGTAAATGGATTTACTGATCTGTTTGTCTTTGAACAGGAAACAGTTTCAGTAAGACAAGACTTTTGTTTGTATCAAACTAAAGAGAAAAAGATTGCAAAACAGTTTAATCTTGATAAATAACATTTTAGATATCAATCAACTTGTTATTTTAATCAAACAGAATAGTACTAAGTTAACCAAACATCTCTATAGGTATTAACGACTGGTTATTGTTATAAATATTATCTGTAATGAAGAGGTGAAGAAGTTCTTCTTCCATAATTTACAGTTAAATTTCAACTTTGAGGATGTAAAGATTATTGAATTTTATTGAAATCAAGAATCGATCAATGTTAGACCATTAGTGCATCAAGGTTTTTAGCGGTGATCTAACTAAGATCACTTCATGATTCCAATGAATTTAAAGATAAATGGTAGGAAAATAATTTGAGTTAAGTTCACTTTGTATTGTTTGTTTGAACCCTCTCATTGATGTTTTGAACTGCAACTGGTCAGTCTCTAATTGGCATATGTGCATATTGTGAGTATTGACTCGATATAGCCTTAATTCACAAGCATTATAAGCACAGATGGATAGTGGCTAGCAGTGGAATCCAGTTTGACGCGTGTGGGACTCAGACCCAGTACCATTTGCTTTAAACGCTATCGCGTTATGCACTCAGCTACTGAGTCCCAGAGTGAACATCAACTCTGATATGCAGGCACATCCAGATGACGAGTCCCAAATGGGACGAAATGCCAGAATTCCACTGTTAACCACTATTCATCTTTGCTTACAATTTGAATTAATTGTTTATCTTTTAAAAAAATGTAGCAATGATAAAATTCTTAGTGAAATAATAAGTGATTTGCTTGTAATTTGGCATCGAATATGATATAGATGACAATTAAGAACTACTTTACAAAAGTTTTCTTTTGTTCTTGGTGTTCTTAAATATGTCAACATCTAAGAATTTCTTCTTTGATTCGTAATATTATTAAACGGCAGTTATCATTGGTAATTGTTAGTGATATTACTTAACTGCTAATCGAAAACCTGTTTAATGTAAATAATAATCAGAACAGAATAATCCTTTAAAGAAAGAATTTTTCTGAATAATGTTATTGTTATATCCTGATAAGAATAAGGAATGGTAACTTTTGGGATCGATTTATGGACCAATACTATACATCATGTAATTGTTAAGTAACTAAACTATTCATGTTCATATCCCTCTTATTATGAACTTTATTTTGATCTGTGAACTTTTATTATACGATTTACCATTCTTGAATTATGTCCTCTCTATGAATTACTATCGCCCTAATTCACAGCCACACTTGGCTATATCTTGTACAGATGTTAATTTCTATTATATGATACGATGTGTTTTGTCTGGTTGGTATATAAATCCAGTATGTTTGAAATATATATGATTCATATCGTGGAGGCTGAGATTTTTGTTCTGGACTTAACTGGCTGGGTTAGGCGTGAAGAAAGGACCAATAAGTACTTTCGATTGCTCGTACGGGTTTCGTGTGTCACTGGTTCGATCGATAAATCACAGCTCTCTACTTGGTAGTATTATCACGTTATACATTAACAGGACATCCAGGCAACAAGTTATAACACTTATTAATCTAAATAAACACACTTCTTTACTTCATTTTAATTTTATCACGAATTGAGATAAGTTGAATAGTTATTGATAGTCAAGAATAATTATATATCTGTATTTTCACTAGTTCATGATCATTCAAAATATATGCCAATCATGAATAAACACAGGAATGATAGCTTTACACCAGTGAATTATGATTCGATACTTCACATATTAAACAAATCACGAATATAAGCAAAAATGGATAGTGGCTAGCAGTGCAATCCAGGACACGCGTTTCGTCCTATTTGAGACTCGTCAGCCGGATGTACCTGCACCTCTAAGTTCATGTCCACTCTGGGACTCGAACCCAGTATTGTTCGTTTTAAACACCATCGCGTTATCCACTTAGCTACTGAGTTCTGATAGCCACTTGGTTGTGCAATGGGGTGAAGTTTAAATTCACTTAGTATTGTTTGTTTGAATATTCCCATTGATGTTTAGAACTGCAATTGATCAGCCTCTTATTCAAACAAACAATACTAAGTGAATTTAACCAAGATTACTTCACTGTCTATATAGATCGACCAATACCTTTTATATGACATATTGTCTAAGTTTAAACATTCATTTCGATTTTATTAATATAAGTATATCAAGCCATTTATTCCTAATTTAAATATCAGTGTAGGGTTGTGGAGATTATTGAGTTTCAACTGATTTCATAAATGGATGAATGTTGGACCACCATTTAAAATCTAGAGGCACTGAACGGCCGTTTCATCCTGGTATGGGACTTCTCAAAAGTGCTCATCCACAACCCCGCACCAGAGGGACTCAACCCCAGGACCTTCGGTCTCGTGCGCCAACTCCCTACCTCTGGACCACTGAGCCGGTATCCAACAGTGTTAATGTATAGCTTCAACCAATCCACGATATTGCGCCACCGTCTACCATTGTCTTCAGTGAGTAACTAACTCTATTACAGACTCGGTTGAACTCCATTGGTCACGGCTTCTCACTAGAAATCCAAGAAACTGATCTTGAAGACAGTCACTAGTGAGGAATAACGTGGATTGTTTGAAGTTAGACTAAAAACATTTTAGACTAGTGAAAGAAATCCACTGGGGAGCTGAACGGCGTGGTGATGCTTCAACGAGGAAACGATGTAATTCACTCAAGTTGTTAACCTTACATAGGCTTATCTAACCAAGACAAGTTAATGTTGTAAGCTATAGAAATTCGACCATCTCCACAAACCCTCTCTAAAGTTAATAATCATGTGTTTACTAGTGGCTAACTTTGAAATGCAATTCCTGATGGTCTAGTGAGAAGCTGTGACCAGAGTAGTTCAACCATGTCCAACAAGAGATATTTATCCATCACGTGCAATTGATGGTTTGGCAAGGTCACAAATTGGTTAAAGTTAGGAGTGCAAATCATCGGTTTGTAAAGTAATGGTCTCAACATCAAGTGCTAATCTCAAGGCTATAAATCCTGGAATCCATCTCCAATTAGGCGCAAGTGTGTGCTACTGAGTAATCACATGTTAGGACGACATACCCATCCAGTGCCCCCACCGGTTTTCAGCAGTATTTGAGCTAATAAAAATTCTTGATTTAAACTATGAAAATTCTGTGATTTCTGCAAACCCCGTATATTAATTAAATGGAATGTTTTTTTATAGATACCTCAACGGTAAGTTAAAACCAGTATCATTTTGCATCGGACCTTCGCTCTTCTTTTAAGGGAAAAATATATATTATATATGTGAGAAATGTCAGCTCATTCATGGTGGTTTGTGTATCATTATTTATAAATGAAGGTGGATGGAGTTATTAATCATAAAATGTGCCAGATGGTTTCAGTTGGTGGTGGTCATATTTGTCTACAGACTTTAACACTGATCGAATCCTATCGACTACCTTCAACTATCGAACATTGTAGTGTAGTACATTCAATGTTAAGTCACTTATTTGGCCACATTACAACCTGATCCATAAGACTCGGTTAGGACTTAAAAGACCGAACAAACAATACATCGCTTTTTACTCAGTGATCAACCAAATGCAGTAAAACAGTAAACCATACAGTATTAATTGCAAACGTACTGATAATAAACAGCATGATGATATGAACAAATAAATATATTTATGTAAGTTAGTTGACCATTGAAAATCAGGAAACACTAGGAAACTGTTTTGTTTTGATACGACACTCTTCAATAATGTATCCATGCCCTCCTCACTAATCAAACCCTAGGTGTCCAGGTCTTTTAATGAGAACCTAACTTTTATACCATTGAACTGATACTCAATGGTTTACACATTTACTCTCTACTACTTATATTGTTATTTATTTAACTTTCTTCCTTGTTTATCATTCATTAGCTGGCTCAATTACTTCCAACTGATGAAGAATTTTTAATTTTATTTCAACGAGAAAATAAGCTAAATTCCAGTGTTGATTTTATGAAAGTAAGTTGATTATTATATTACTGTGTAATGATACATAAAAGAAGGCGACCTTTCAAACGAAAATACCACCTTTAGTTGTACCCTATTGATATTAAGAAGTAAATTTTCTAGTACAATGATCTTCCGTTTTGTTTATATAAATACAATATCCATCTAAATGAACAATAAATAGATAGTTACCCATATTCAATGCTCAATATATTACATACTATATATGAATGAAATTGTAGTGAACAGAACATGGGTGGGGATGATCGAATGTATTTTAGCACAAAATTACTGAACATATCACCAAAATCTGATAACTATACAATAAACTAATCAATCACAGTCCTAAATGGGAAGATTCAACCAAACAATAGTAAGTGAATTTAAATTTCACCCCATTGCACAACCAAGTGGCTATCAGGACTCAGTAGTTAAGTGGATATTGTGATGACATTTGAAGCAAACGGTACTTGGTCCAAGTCCTAGAGTGAACACCAACTATGAGATTCAGATACATCCAGCTGATGAGTTTGGGATAGGACGAAACGTGCGTCCCGGATCGCACTGTTAGCCACTATCCATCTTTGCTTATTATACAATAAATAGTTAATTTGCAAACTATCAGTCAATTGTCTCATTCTTGACCGTTCATTCTACAAATATTAATCCATCGTCTCTGACTATTATTGTTGATGCATTTTCATAACAATTCCGTCCTGTTCCCGTTCTTCCCTGATTGATCTTTTATTGAAATACATTCAATGCCCGACCATCGTTATATACTACTTATGTGAACATTAGTAGCTCACGCCAAAATATAAGCAAACCATGTTTAAACCGATGCATTTTCAAAAATTTTCAAATGTAGTACGAAATGTATGCTACAAAAATTATTTAATACATAAACATACATGTTGAGTCAATGCTTTATTGAATGTAATACTACTGAATACATGTTATTTACACTGTCGGAGTAAGGAGTATCAGTATCATCAGAGATTTGTTTTTTCCTTTTTTTTTGTGAATTTATAGTTATATATATTGATTTTAGTAAACGTATAGTTTCTATCGTATAAGTGAGTTTAACACACACACACACATACTCACATAGAAGAGATTAACCCATCCATTCATTTACATATGTTGGGATGCAGTGAGAAATAAAAATCTAAGAAAAAAGATACAATATTACGAAATAATTCCCATTTAATATCCATTTACATTTTGTTATTAGTTAATGTATATGTTAAAAGGTATAATTATGGACGATGATTTCCTACCTTTCCTATTCATATCCAAATGCTTTTTCTAAGTAGGTTTACTTCAATGACGTTTTATTTCATTGTATAATATTTATGGTATATAAATTCTGATACAATCACCTCTCCTTTTACTAAAAAACATAAGGAGTATAATTATATAGTATTTATTTTGATGGATCATCATTAAGCTGTAGTGCTGCGATTCGTTAATCGTTTACTTCGATAACCGTTATAATCCTCAACTTAACGGTGAGTAAAATAAGAAGACGAAGGATAGCAGCAACTACAGTTTTATTGACAAATAACATAGGCTAGAAAGCAGTGAGCACATGAGCAAATGTTAGCGAGCGAAGTAAAAACGACACATAGTGGAGATTGGCGGGTAAGCCAACTCGAGAGCGAAGCGAAAGATAATGCGTATTGGAGATGGCTGGGAAGCCAACTCGCTATGAGAAAGCATTAATCAACATTTATAGTCAGACAAAAATGAATGACAGACATGTGATAAGTAGGATAAGAAGTGTACATACACATGCGTTCATATAACAAGGTAATCAAGGCTAGTTAGCGAATAATTAACAAGATCAAAATATGACTCATAATGGATAGGCGAATTGGCTAGGCCAGTAACTAGAATAAAGTATATGGGCTTAACATATAAACTGATACTACAAAGCATTGATATTCGCTGAAAACACTATGAAAACCGAAGATCAATTAAGAGCTATTTTGTTCTGATTCGATTTTTCTTTTTTAAGAATACTTACATAGAACCCTACTACTTATGGCTATCATCAATGGAAGCGAATGTGTTATCAACGAATTAAAATAAAGTGAATCGTAATTCTAGTTTTAGTGAGTTAGCGGTATTTTTTTAAGATGATAACTGTTACAATAAGGGTAGAGTTGAATTCCAAAATGAAATGACTTCTCACTTGAATCTTGCAGATAATTATTTATTTAATTTAGTTAGTTATAGAGATAAGTTTAACGTACAGAAGATGGAGATGGACAGTGGTAAACTAACTAACACTGAACAGCCATTGAGTGTTATGATTTTAAACTAAATACATTTTTCCCATATGTTCTTTTTGCTTACCTTTTTCTTTCGTCTTTTATAAACTTCTTTATTGATCACTTTGTTTCTAATAATTCAACTTCCTCTCGAAATGCTCTCATATGGCCACGCAAATATATAGCCTCTGCCAGGGAAGTCCTACTCACTGCCTTCTCGTGGCGGGGGTGTTGTTCACAAAAGTGAGAGGATGAAAAGCGAATGTCCAGCGCTTTAACCAGGTTGATGGACACGGAAAGTTAACCTAGGGGAGTTGGAAAACCCTGATTCCAAACCAATGGTGTACATGGGCTCCAGTATCCTGAAGGAACAAATGGCGTACGAATCAACCGTTGATCACCGGCTAATAGGGGACTGCATCTCCTCACGATGCTCCACTGCCTTATGGATCAGCTCTTTCGGTCAAAGGCTCCGGGTGTGGTCCCCTAAGAAAACCATCTGTTTCAGTCTGGGCACCTGGGCAGTATCACGGCCCTCACACAAATCGAATGAGATTTGTGAGGCGCATATTTATCTGGTGCTTCCTTGTACCAATATTTATGTGTTTAAATAAATAATATAAAAAATAATTCAACAACTTGATCGTAAAATATTTGATCATAAGTGGAAAATGAATCTTTTGACGTTATTTCAATATTTTACAATAACCTACATTAATCAATAGCGAAATTGGTGAATTTCAAAGCAAATACGTTGTTTAAAATTATATGAATGTTATAGCTTGTGGCCTGTGTGTCCTGTTTAATATATATGACGTTATAAGACCGCCAATTGGAGAGCAATGATTTATGGATCGAACCAATGACGAGTAAAACCCATACGAGCATTCGAGAATACTTAACAGTCCTTCCTTCACATCTGACCTAGCCAGTTAAGTCCAAAACACCAATAACAGCCTCCACGATATGAATCATATATTTCAAATATAAGGGGTTTATAAACCAACCAGACAGACCACATCGTACCATAAAGTACAAAACAACGCTTGTACAATAGGATGAAACAACCGTCCAGTGCTTCCAGGTTTTCCATGGTGATCTAACTTCAATTGACTCATCATCTCAACTATTATAATGTATACAAGATTTAGCCAAATATGGCTGTGAATAAGGAAGATAGTAATTGATAGACAGGGCATAATTCAATAATCGTATGACAATAGTTCATTAGTTAAAATAAAGCTCATAATAAGAAGGACATGAATGTGAAGTTTAGTTACTTAACAATCATACAATAAAAAATATATGCATATTATTGGTTCATAAATAGATTCCAAAAGTTATCATTCATTATTCTTATCAGGATATAACAATGAATTTAGAAATTTTAAAGTTGAATTCATTAGTTGATCTAAGCTGGACCACCATTATATACCATGGAAGCACTAGACGTCTATTTCGTCATAATATGGGACTTCTTGACAGTGAACATCCACAATCGTACACATGAGACTTAGATCCAGAATTTGTTGACAAAGAGAGGTAGATGGTGACTAGCATTGGAATTCATGACGAACGTTTCGTTGCAATTAGGAATTGAAATTGTGTGTATTTTGAAATAACTAACAAGCAATGTTAACTTGTATACTTTTTGTACCTTAAACTTTGAGACTATTAATCATAATAAATATCGGTAACGTATGGTGAGAGAGAGAATTAATTTGTAATTACAAATCTGGCCAAACTTCGGCAGATTATATTATATGTAAAGTGACTTGAATTCAGTAAGAACTAATAAAGTGGGATAATTACTGACTAAAATACCAATATATTCAGAAGATTAACAGTGATATGCAAACAATAATAATAATAATAATAATAATAATAATAATAATAATAATAATAATAATAATAGTACTGCAAATCGTTTATATGACAGACCGAAGGTCTTGGGTTCGAAATCCGAGTGTGATACCGTGGGTATGCACTGCTGAGGTGTTTCACACTAGGACGAAAAGGTCATTCAGTTTTTCCAGGTTTTCAATGGTGGTCTAACATCGATCATTTCATGATGTCAATCAAATAAATGCCACAAACCTGACCACCTTTTGTATTATTAATTAAGACATATTGAAAAGAATGTTCTTTATTCACATATTAGTGTTTTAATCTGATGTATAAAACTTAAATGTCATTTCAGTCTAAGATTATTTTAAACGATAACAAATAATTCTGTAATTCTGTTTATTAGAAAAGCAAATACCTACAACACAAGTGACTAAGCAAACATTGTCTATGTTTAATATGATTAGTTGACAACTGTGGACATTATTATTATTATTATTATTGGTAGTAGTAGTAGTAGTAGTAGTAGTAGTAGTAGTAGTAGTAGTAGTAGTGGTAGTAGTAGTAGTAGTATCGCATATAAGTGTACTGAATTATTCTATCGTTTGAGTTGAATGGTTTTCATTGGTAAAAATAATTAGCTGTCTAGCTGATGATAATAATAACAACATAATATTCATTGTTTACGATATTGTATTCATAATAAAGTATTATTTAACCGTGAAATGTCATTATGACAGTCTTGATAAACCTATCTATTTATCTATCAAATGGGATAATGTGGACATATGGGTGTATAGTTAAATTCTGAATAATTTTGGTAAAACAAAGATAATAATTCATTTGCTATTGTTTTGTCTGAATCAAGACTCAGTGGTAAAGTGGATAGCGCAATGGCGTTTGAAGCGAATGGTTCGTCAATCAATTCATGTTATTCCGAATCCACTTGTCCTTACCTATAATGGATAACTACCAAACTTTACTGATCATCGATAGCTTCTCAATACAACTACAATAGTTGTATTTTGAAGTTAATCACTATCAAGTTCAAGATTATTAACTTAGCGTAATCTGTGAACGTTGATCTCTTTATAGAGTTACTTGATAAAATAATAAAAAACCATACTCCAATATTTCATTTGTAAAATATTCATTAATTATCTCAGACTTTATTGTCCATGTCTTTTTATATCCATTGCTTTCTGTCCCCTTATCTTCCCTACTCAATCTTCCCAACGTTCTGCTACCAAACATTTTATTACTGATTAACGTAATATACTACTTATATCAACATAAATAACACACACACACACACTCACTACAATGTTACATAATTTTTATTCATCCTAATTATAGATCATTTCACTGTAAAATGTAACATAAATCTTCCCCATTATTATTATTATTCCTTTGAATAGTTTATCTCTTATTAGTTAATTAATCAGAATGTATCATTTAATAATAAAAGAAAAATATCCATTGTGCTTATTTATCCTTATTTATATCAGTAATAAACAAATAAACAAGTCCTAAATAGTAAGAAACGCGCGTCCAACTGGATTCCACTGCTAGCCACTATCCATTTTTGCTTTATAATGAATTAAGGCTATCTCGAGTCAATATGCATAGAATGCATATATAGCTCAATTAGAGACTGACCAGTTGCTGTCTTAAAAACATCAATGGAAAGATTCAAACAAAACAATACTAAAGGAATTTAATCACCTTTTTCACTTTAACAAAAAAAAATTAAATTTTTTTTTCATTAACAAAAAAAATGAAAAAGAAAACTGTCATAGTTACCAGAAGTAGAATCATTTCGTTACAATTAATTTGAATATTCGTTACATTCAATAATCAATAAAGTGTTCCGCTTTTTTGTGTTTTATTTTTGTTTAAATTAAGTAATTGTTTAAATTATCAACCTTCTTTTTAAAAAAATTATTATCTCATATTTATGAAATATTACTATGACTACAAGATGAGTTAAATTATTAAATAGTGGTGGTAATAATAATAATAATGGTATAGTGTCTGTTGTAGAGATGTCATCTCACTGAAGACAATTGGTGAACGGTCGCTCGAAATCGTAGATTGATTGAAGTTAGACATTAACACCATTGGATGCCGGCTCAGTGGTCTATCGGTTAAGGGCTTCGGCTCGAGACTGGTAGGTCCTGGGTTCGAATCTCGCGGGTGCGGGATCGTGGAAGTGCACTCCTGAAGAGTCCCATAATAGGACGAAAGGGCCGTCGAATGCTTCCAGGTTTTCGACGGTGGTCTAGCTTCAATTGATTCATGATCTCAACTGTGAAAATACTAAATTCTCCACAAACCCCCCTCTGATGTATAGTGTAATGATACAATTTCTTTTTATGGAAACAAATTGTTACTATTACTACTGTAGTGAACAAAACACGATTGAGGATAATCGGGTGTGTTTCAACACGAAATAAAAAAAACTAACTCACTAAATTTTGATAGCTATACAGTAAACATTCACTTAGTATTGTTTGTTTAGATCTTCCCATTGATGTTTTTAGAACTGCAATTGGTCAGTCTCTTATTGGAATATGTGCACACTGTGCGGACTGCCTCGATATTGCCTGAAGTCACAAGCTTCCAACGCTATCAATGGGAAGATTCAAGCAAACAATACCAAGTGAATTTAAACTTCACCCCATTACACAATCAACTGGCTATCAGGACTAAGAAGTTGAGTGGATAACGCGTTAGAAGCAAAATGTACTAGGTTCGAATCTCAGATTGAACATCAACTCTGAGATGCAGATACATCCAGCTGATGAGTTCGGAATAGGACGAGACGCGCGTCCTGGATTGCACTGCTAGCCATTATCTATCTTTGCTTATTATACAGTAAACAGTTATTTTGAAAAATAATAATCAATTGTCTGAATCTTAACTGTTCTTTCTGCAAATATCAATCCATCTTCTCTGATTTCATTGTTCATGCATTTCAATACTGATTGCGTTTCATTTCAGTTCTTTCCTTATGGACCTTCTACCAAAATACATTTTATGTCTAATCATCACCATATACTACTTATGTGGATATAAGTAGACCACACCACACTAGTAAAAATTATTATGTTTCTTCTTTTTGTTTGTTTATGAAACTAATAAGACACCTTTCGAAAGTGTATTCTATTAAGGGAAATTCATTTTTTAGAAATGATTCATTTCATTAGACCGTAATTTTCTTTCTGTTAGTTTTAACTAAAGTAATTGGAATTTACAAATTCAACTTATTTTCAAATCCATATCATTAACAAGATATCATTACTGTTATTTGATTACATGTTATAATTTGTGACCTTGTGCCCCTATCAACATTTGACGTGATGATATCGTCAATTAGAGACCATCGACTTATTGACCCGACCAATAACACATAAACCTGTACGAACAGTCTAGATTCCTTGTCGGTCTTTCTTCATGCTTAGCTTTGCCTGTTAAATCCAGAACACAGATCTCAGCCTTTTTAATATGAATCATGTAGTTCTAACATACTGGGTTTATATGGAAATCAAACAGACCACATCGTACCATAAAATAAAAAATGACATTTATGCAAGATCTAGCCAAAAGTGTCTGTGAATGTGAGAGGTAGTAATTAATAGACTGGACATAACTCAAGAACGGTAAATTGTATAGTAATAGGCCATAGATCCAAATAAAGCTTATAATAAGAGGAACACAATTATGAATAGTTTAATTACTTAATAATTATACAATAAAAATATATGTATCGTATTGATCCATTAATAGTTCTCAATAGTTACCAGCCACCATTTCCCTCGGGATATATCATTACATTTGTATAATTTTAAGTAAACTAATAAATGACAACTTATTAAGACTAGGAACTTTGTTGATGTTATAACGTATGAGGATCGTAATATATATGGATGTACAATTAGAGAGGTAGTGGATTTATTGATCGGACGCAAATGATACTTGAAATCGTACAAGCAGTCTTCAGTGCTATTCGGTCCTTCCTATCTGCCTAGCCCAGCCAGTTGAGTACAGAACACAAATAACAGCCTCGGCAATATGAATTATTATTTACAAACATACTGGGTTTTTATACAACCCAAATTAATCAATAAACTGATTATAACTCAAGAATCGTATGATAATAAGTCAAAGGTCAAAATAAAGCTAATGATAAGAGAAACATGAATATGAATAGTTTAGTTACGTAACAATTGTAGAATAGGAAATAGGCATAATACACTGGTCGATAAATAGTCCTTAGAGTTATCATTCATAATTCACCAGGGGATATAACAGTTGATTATTTATATGTAAGCTAATAATATACACAAATCAATTGTAATTGATCTCATTAAATGAAATATTATATTTAATATCCTTACAATGAATAAATTTTGAATAGCTAATTATTCCTTTGAAAAACCATACTGTTTACATTGACATTTACTTGGTTTCGATCTAATAAATACTTTAAGTTGGAATATAATTTTCATTATAAGTTGATAACAATAAGATAATTTAATGGTTGAATTCATGAGTCAATTGAAGCTAGTACAACATAAAAAACCTGGAAACATTGAACTGCCGTTTCGTCCTAGTATGGGGCTCCTCAGAAGTGTTCATTCACTATCCTGGGATTTGAACTCTTCTTATAACAATAAGATAGTTATTAAATAAAAGGTAGTAGTATTAATAAGTTGTTTTATGATGATCTGAGATTTATAATTGTACACAAAATCGACATCAAAACACTGAACCCTCTTGTGTGTCTGAAAAGTTTAACTGATATGAATTTTTATACTGTTACTAATTAGGTATGGAGAGAATTTGACAAAGATCACAGTGGATTTATTGAAGCGGATGAATTAAAAGTAAGTCCTAACCTATAATTGAATAATCATTGATCATTTATTTCTTTGATCGAATTCTATAAGTTGTATTGTAATCATTAATGTGCTCAAATCTATGTTTTATCCCAGATTATGTGTTTTATTGGCATTCACCAACAAAGCACTGTTCGACGGCTGTTTCGTCCTATTGTGGGGCTCCTCAGCGATTCCACCTTGCGAAATTTAGGCTGATATTTATAGAAAGATTATTCAATTAGAAGAACACTATCAAAACGGAATACATATATAAGACATGACTAACTGATTTTTGGCTTGATGTTTCTTAATTAAACTCTATATATAGTGAACATTACATAGAATAAACAAAAGTAAATAATGGATAGATCGAAGTTATCAATACTTCCAGGTTTTCATTGATAGTCTAGCTTAGATCAACTTGTGAATTAAATTGTTAAAAGCAAATAACATTAGAAGGTTTTTAATAGCCATGAGTCAGTAAATAATTATAACTTGCTTAACAGATCAAGTAAAAGAATTCTAGTTGATCAGTGCTGAAATGTTTTAGAAGATTGATATAAAAGTTGATATATTCCACTGGAAGCTGTGATTAGTCAGATACTTGTGAAGTTTTTTTTGTTTTTACTGATTTCTTTATGTCACATTGATTGAAATGATGAACAAGCGCGATGGCATTTGAAGCTGAACGATACAGGGTTCGAATACCAGAATGAGCATCGACTCTGAGATGCAAGTACATCTCAAATAAAACGAAACAAGCGTCCTGTATTCCACTGCTAACCACTATCCATCTTTGCTTATAAAGCTTATGACTACAGGCAATATCGAGGCAGTTCACATAGGATACATATATACCAACAAGAGACTGATCAATTGTAATCCATAATAACAATCGGAAGATACAACTAAACAACACTAAATGAATGTATAGATATGTTTATAAATTAACTCTCGATCAATGTATAATCTAATGAATTTTAAAGATAGAATATAATTGTCATTGACTAGATTATCTCTATTTAATTAGGTCAATCCATCACTATTTATTTCTATTCGAAATTGAAAGTCACATTGTTAAATTGAATAGGTAGATTTAAGTTATAACCCTATACAACCTTTAAAAGAATAACTATTATGCTATTCTGATATCTAAACGTTTTGATCAAGTTTCAATGTTTTCAATTTTGTTTTGACAACAACATTGACTTGTTTTAAATTAATTTAATTGTTTATTTAATTTGAAGGATTTTCTCACGGAACTTCTATCGTTTGGAATACGTAAAGATGATGAAAAATTTGATGAAAAAATTATTGAATATACTGATACAATTGTAAGTAAAAAAAAGAAATTGTTTTTGTTTCCATTACGTAATATGGTATTTACTAAGTGGTATTGTATTATGCATCCTGGTGATCGACTGGATCATGAAGACGACAACATCTGGAAGGAAGCACGGGATGCAGTGGACAGCTAGGATGCAGCTGGATGGTTTAAACTTCGCAGATGATCTGTCTCTTCTATCACACAACCAACAACCAATGCAGTAGAAGATGACCGGTGTAATAACAGCCCCTGCAGCAGTAGGTCACAATATACACAAAGGGAAAAGCAAGATTCTATGATACAACACAGCATGCACCAATCGAATCACACTTGACGGAGAAGGTTTGGAGGATGTAAAGACCTTTGTATATCTGGACAGCATCATTGATGAACACGGTGAACATGTTGCAGATTTGAAGGCACGGATCTGCAAAGCAAGAGCAGCATAAATGTACAACTGAAGAACATCTGGAACTCAAAACAATTATTAACCAACACCAAGATCAGAATTTTCAATACAAATGTCAAGACAGTTCTACTGTATGGGGCGGAAACCTGGAGAGCTATGAAAGCCATCATCCAAAAGATACAGGTGTTTATTAACAGTTGTCTACGTAAGATACTTCGGATCCGTTGGCCAGACACTATCAGCAACAACCTACTGTGGGAGAGGACAAACCAGATTCCAGCGGAGGAAGAAATCAGGAAGAAGCGCTGGAAGTGGATAGGACCCCCTTTAGGAAATCATCCAATTGCGTCACAAGAAAAGCCCTCACATGAAAATATGAAGGCCAAAAGAAAAGAGGAAGACCAAAGAACACATTACGCCGAGAAATAGAGACAGACATGAGAAAAATAAACAACAACTGGATAGAACTAGAAAGGAAGGCCCAGGACAGAGTGGTTTGGAGAATGCTGGTCCGCGACATATGCTCCATTGAGCGTAAGTAACTAAGTATATATTATATTATACATGGATAATATATATGATTTACTGTTTGTTTTTTATTTTAAAACTGACTAGTTTTGGCAATAATATAAGTAGTATAAAGTTTTAGAAACATTTTTATACTGTAAATAATCTACCTATGATCAGTATTTGTTTATAGATTATACATTATGAAATGATATCATATTTTCAATATCATTAGAGATCTTTTGAACTATTGAATCTGTGCTTTTTGAGTTGGAGTTTTTCTCTCCAAGCTAGATGGTTTGGTCATGAAGCTTTCATCATTATTCTGAATTACGTCATCAGTACATACTTCTATTAAAATCATCCACCTCAGCCACAAATCTTCTCCACCATCCCTGAATCTGTGCTTTTCATCCAATCTTGTTTGAAACAAACTTTCACTGAAGCTCCCATTATATTTCCCGAAGAAATTCGTGACACTCTTATCCCTACCATCGTCGGATATGGTTTGACAAAAGGTTTTATTAATTTTTGTTCATATTCTATATTTATTTGTCATTTCTCACTTGTCTTTCGTTTTCTATTCTCCACTATCTAATCATCTACGTAATTCTAGTAATGTTTTGTGATTATTATTTTAAAGTCCATTCATCCTAGTTTAACCTACTTCCTATATTGAACTACTAAGTAGATCAACTAATGGATTCAATCGAAAATACTATGATCTCCACAAATCCCCGTACTGACAGTAATTATGTGCTCTTTAGTGACTAGCTTAAAGATGGATTTCTTGGAGTTCTAGTGAGAAGTCATGACCAATGGAGTCCAATCCGTATCGGTTGTGAGACATTTATCCAACTCAGATAATGGATAAAGGATTGCGCGAGATAATGGAACGATTGAAGTTAGACATTATTACCATCGGATGACAGCTCAATGGTCTAGAATTACAGTGTTCACGTGTGAGACCGAAGGTCCTGTATTGGAGTCGCATGGGATCGTAGATGCTCACTGTAGAGGAGTCCTATACTATGTCGATAAGGTCATCCAGTGCAGCTTAGTTTGACTAGTGAATTCAACTAAAAAAACAATGAATAGAACTTTTGTTATTTTATCATTCTTATCACACTGCTAGTACACTTATCTTCTTACTATCAAATTGTACTTTTTATCTATTATGTTCAGTTAGTTATGCAATCTACTTCATGGTGATCATTGACTCATATGTTGCCTTAATCGGTTTTGATATTTTCATATAAATATTCATGTATATTAGAGCATAACTTGATGATGATAATAATGTAATTGAAAGCAATATCTCTTTTCTTTTTAACATAAATCATCATCTTAATTCTTAAGATCAAATAAATTAAACTTCAGTAATGTTAAGGGGTTATGATACATAATTATTCAGTTATAACAGAAAACATTTCTTGTAACTAACTGTTGAATAGTAAGCAAAGATGGATAGTGGCTAGCAGTGGAATCCAGGACGCACGTTTCGTCCTATTCCGAACTCGTCAGCCGGATGTACCTACATCTCGCAGTTGATGTTCACTCTAGGACTCGAACCCAGTATTGTTCGTTATCCATTTAGCTGTTGAGTCCTGATAGCTAGTTAGTTGTGCAATAGGGTGAAGTTTAAATTCACTTGGTGTTGTTCGGTTGAATTAAGGCTTTATCGAGGCGATACGCACAGTATGCACATATAGCCAATAAGAGACTGATCAACTGCAGTCCTAAACGTCAATGGGAATATTCAAGTAAACAATACCAAGCGAATTTAATGATTATTCAGTTTTTCTTTGCAGTGTGATATTTTGTTTGGTATAAGATTGATTTATTTGAGTGTTATGCTTGTTCGACAAACAATATTCTTGTATTAAATTAACATGGACTATGCTCAGCGTGACATGCAGCATGTGGTTTTATCATAACTCTTTGCAATTTCCATACGTGATATTATTTTACTTAATAGTCAAAATAGGTATACTAGATTCACTTGGTGTTGTTTGAAACAAGAGACTGATTAATTTCAGTCCTAAACGTCAATAGCAAGACTTAACCAAATAATACGAAGTGAATTTAAACTTCACCTCACTGCACAACTCAATAGCTAAGTAAATGTGGTGATGGCGTTTAAAGCGAACAATACTTGGTCCAAGTCCCAGAGTGAACATCAACTGCGAGATGCGGCTACATCCAGCTGAGGAGTCCCAAACAGGACGAAATGCGAGTCTTGGATTCTACTATTAGTCGCTATCCATCTTTGCTAAAAACAGTTGTACTAGAGTTGTTGTCGTGTTTTAGGGCTAATCAATTTTGACTTGTACCAGTCTTCTTCTTCCTACTTCACATCGTAGGGAATTGCAGTGGTTCCTCATTCTTTCACTTATAATGAATAAATGACACCGATACAACAGAAACAACAATTTGTGCATGTAAACTATTAGAAATATTTAACAAAAATGTTTATCGTTTTAAAAAAAAGAAAAGAGGAATGATGAATTTATGAAATAAAATGTGTGTGTGTGTGGTTGATTCAAGTTATTCATTTTGGAATATTTTAATTTTCAGTTGAAGTTATTTGATCATAATCAAGATGGAAAATTACAACTAAGTGAAATGTCTCGGTAAGTTTGTTCTGATTTTTACTAAAAACAAATTTTAACTCTTAAAAGGGGGTTTTATGGGGATTTTATTAATTTTATATAGTTTAAATTATGAGTCCATTGAAGCTAGACCACTATGGAAAACCTGAAAGCACTGTTTGATGGCCGTTTCGTTCTATTGTGGGACTCCTCAGTAGTGTGCATCTACGATCCCACCTCGCGAGATTCCAACCCAGGACCTATCAGACTTGCGCGCGAGCGCTTAACCCACTAGACCACTGAGTTGGCATCCAACAATGTTAATATCGAACTTTAACCAATCCACAAAATGGAGCAACCATTCACCATCAGCTATTTCCTGGAGTTCTAGTGAAAATTAGTGACCAGTGAAGTTCAACTAGGTCTGTCGCGAGATATCAACTCACTGAAGACAATGGTGATTCTGTAACTTTGTATTCAAATTCATTCGATTATACTCACTTGTGTTCTCGTTCACTACAGTAGTAGTATTTATTGTAGTGTTAAAAATCATAATATGTTATAAATATTTTTTAAAGTGTGTAATTACATGCATTTAGCAGACATAATTAGTGAATTAAAACAAAACTGAAGGAGGGGGGAATTGATGATAATAAACTCAAATTTGATAAAATGTTAACCCAAGTGTTTGATCAGTTCACTGCTTCTTCTTCCTCACATAGTTATACTGTAGTGAACAACAACACGATTGGGGACAATCAAATGTATTCAAGCACAAATTACAGACTATCTCACTTAAATCTGATAACCATACAGTAAACAGTTAATTTGCCGAATACCAACAATCGTCTCAATCTTTGACTGTTCCTTCTGCAAATATCAGTCTACCTTCTCTGATTTCATTATTCATGCATTTTCATACGGAATGTGCTTCATTTCTGTTCTTTCCTTATCGATCTTCTGCCAAAATACATTCTATGTTTGGCCATCACCATATACTACTTATGTGGATATAAGTAGATCACACCACAATACATGTTCTAAATTGTTTATGGATGTTATCATTGAATTTCATCCGTTTTAATAGTACACTAATTTTTAAATTCAATTACATAATATTCATTTGCAAGAGATACCTAATTTTCTCAGTTTATTTCCATAGTAACAACTTATTTTTCTTTCATATTTAACAGTTTAATACCAGTGGAAGAGAACTTTTTATGTCGTCCAATATTTAAACATGCTGGTAAAATTACTGCAGCTGATGTAGATCGTGTTTTTGCATTGTACGATACAGTAAGCATTGTTTCTTTTCATTGATACTTAATTATACAATTGATAATCTGAAAATCTTCATACTGTAGATAATTATCATTCAGACATAATGGTCAATGTTAGAATTAGAGATGATAACAACAATATGAAACATGATTTCTGTTTCTCGGTTAACTAATTCGATCAAGATTCTAATGCGTATTTGTTGAACAGTTACTCACTTACTTGCTTGTTTGCTAACTTACTCACGCCTAAAACCCTTCATGTAGGAATTTAGGCCACCAACCAGCATTCTCCATACAACTCTATCCTAGACAATCCTTTCCAGTTGTTTTCAGTTAACATTCATCCTTTTCATGTCTGCTTACAATTCCCGACACAATGTGTTCTTTGGTCTTCCTCTCTTCTGTTCCCCTTCACCATTACAACTTAGGATTTGCCTCGTGATGCAGTTTGATGATTTCCACAATGTATGTCCTATCCACTTCCATCTTCTTTTCCTAATTTCCTCCTCAACTGGAAGCTGGTTTGTTCTCTCCCACAGGAGGCTGTTGCTGATGGTATCCGATCGACGGACACTGAATATCTTGTGTAGGCAACTACTTATAAGTACTAGTACCTTTTTGATGATAGATGTAGTAGTTCTCCACGTTTCAACTCCATACAGTAGGACTGTCTTGACGTTCGCATTGAAAATTGTGACTTCGATATTGCTTGACAGTTGATTTGAATTGCATGAGTTCTTCAATTATAGGAATGTTGTCATGGATTTGCCAATCCTCGCCTTTATATCTGCATCAGATTCTCCTTGTTCATAGATGATGCTTCTCAGGTACGTGAATGTTTCCACATTTTCCAGAGTTTACCCATCAAGTATGGTTGGCTTGGTTTTCTCCGTGTTGTATTTGAGAATCTTGTTTTTACTTTGTGTATGTTGAAGCCTACTGATGCAGAAGCTGCTGTGACATTCGCTGTCTTCGTCTATATTTGTTCGTGTTTATGGAATAGAAGGGTCAGGTCATCTGTGGAGTCCAAGTTGTCTAACTGATTCTGAGCTGTCTATTGTATTCAATGCTTTCCATCAGGTCTCGAGGTCTTCACAATCCAGTCAATCATCAGAAGAAAGAGGAGGGAGGAGAGTAGACAGCTTTGTCTGACTCCGGTTCGTACTTGAATTACATCAGTCAGCTGTCCTTCATGCACCACTTTGCACTGTAGTCTGTTGTATGAGTTCTGGATAAGCTTGAAAATTTGTGGTGGTCGATTTTTGATATTATCCTCAGGCTTCGTATATTGTTCGTCTTGATAACCGTTACTCGACAACGTCCTAACGATGTATAAATCAGAAGACGAATACGAAGGGTTGATCGCGTTTATTACTGAACCACACACAGTTATCCAATATTACAGGTGCGTCAAGCAAGCATGAAAGAGCAGTGCCGTAGAGCCGAATGAATGAGTAAGCATGTACAGTACGGTGTAGAGTAGTGCAGAGCAGAGAGCAAGCAGGGCAAGTGCAGTAAACAGGATTAAGATGTACATATATATATAAGTGGAAAAGCATGAATCATCGGATCAAATAAGCGATTAATAATAATGCTAGCGGAATGAATATATGCGTAGGCAGTAAGCAATGTTCAAGCGTATATAATAAAAGTACAATGCTGTAGATGGGTTGTTATTGTATGAATGACTGTCCATTAAATAAGTTAACAATAGGGCTTAGCTGAATTAGATGTAAACAAACTCAGTTGTATCTGAGTTGCTATAAATTTTCCCAGGAACTCCACAGTGTCGAAGATGTTTGCATAATGTTCTCCGGTCCACACTATCAAACGCCATCTAATAATCAATGAAGTTGATGTATAGTGACGAATTCCACTAAACTGATTGTTTAACGATGATCCGTAGTGTCGCAGTTTGTTTTGTGCACGATTGGTCCTTACGGAATCCAGCCTGTTGATCTCGACGTTGGGCGTCTACTGAGTCTTTCGTCTGAAAACAATTGGATTACTATATTTGTTATTACGTAACTCTAATTTAAATCTATCTTTTTGATTCATTAATTACTGATATATGGGATTCATTGAAACTGTATTATTTTCACTGTGGAAATCAAGAATTGATTTTATACCATCATTTAAAACCTTGATGCACTCGATGACCGTCTTATCTTAGTGTGGGACTCCTCAACAGTGTTCATCCACAGTTTTACAAGATGGAAACAAATCTAGTGTCTTAGGTCTCATGCGCGAATGCATAACTTTTTAACCATTGAGCTGATATTAATTAATTAAACATCTCTAACCTTTCAAAAATTACAGCTGACTAAATGCAAATCTATTATTAGGAAGTTTAAGAAAGAGGTAATTGATAGGCTTTATTTGTATTGCCGTCACATTATTAATAACCATACTATCGTCGATCAGAATATTGAAACGAAAGACGAACTCATAGAGTAATTCAGCAAGATTATTAGTTGTTGGCTTATCCAAATTTATCATTTGTAGTAAACTATAGTTCTATGTTACACTTACTTCAGACATTATTCTATATACCTCTACATCATCACCAACCTGGTCATTTTTACAGGATTAAAATCCTTTTTCATTCAACTTTCCCTTTTTTTAAAAGGATAAAAATGGAGCCATTGAAGATCTTGAATTGTATGGTTTCTTAAAAGATCTTCTTGAACTTGTGGAAGAAGTAAGCTATTTCGACTTTTCATTCGTAACAAACCATTTTGAGATATTTAAATTATACCATATAAGTATACATAACTCGAGATAGTATCTGTTATGACTCGTAAGTTGAACGCTTTATTCGGATCCTAGCTATTCGGATAACCCCAGGCTAGCACTACTCAGCGACTTGGAAGACCAGAGAGAAGACACGAGTATCAGAGAAGCACTTTACTACAAGGTTCAATTATGTACAGAAAAACAGGGGTTTTATAGTAGCTAAAAGACCTTGAGATCCCATAGTAACAGTATGTTAACAGCCAATCAGGACCTTGTTATTTTAGTAGCATTTTAGTAGCATAGCTTCTAACTAATCGCTGATTGCTTGGTCTCTTTATGAGCCTCTCTGGAGGCTCTGATAGAGTTTATTGTAAGCCGATCTAACAGTATCCTTTTTTTAACTTTTAAGAATAGATCAGCCTATGTTCTCGGCTGCTGTTCGTTAAACAGTCAATAAATATGAAGCACAACTAGTCGTTTCATTCTAGTTTGGAACACCTCAACAGTGAGCATCCGTGATCTTAACAGGGATCAAAACAAGGATCTTTTAGGTCACACAATGAGCACTTGACATTGTGACTACTGAACCATGATCCAATAGTTTACATCATTGAGTGACTGTTGACTACTCTAGATCCCCGGAAATCAATTGATAAACTCCTTATTTTTGTAATATAATTTTAAAAGCTTGAAATTCCCATTTTTCTGCCATAAAGTACTCATTGCTGTCTTCATTTTGTGTTTCCCACCTGGAACGATCTTAAAATTCATTGGTTTGTTGGCTCTTTTGTGACGTTTATGAAGGACATTTTTTGAATTGTATATCTTACGAGCTGAATGCTTGTTAAGCGTTTCTTCAGGCTGCTTGTGGAATAATATATTTTTACTGCTGGTTCTAGTCTTATTCCTTCAGTTATCGAGGCTGGGGCTCAGAGAAATAGCTTAGCTTCATCCTGTTATTGTGTTGCTGTTTTTAGTTCGATTGGCGAGTACTAAGGTGGTACCATAATATCTCGAACGTAAGAATGGCGACAAGGCTGGCGCAAGTGTAGATCCTATAAAAGTGAGACTACTATTGGAGCAGCTACTAAAAATTGTCTATATGATATCAGACACGAAAGTTATATCTACCTCGCAACTTAGAACATTTATTCTATTCACTTTGTGTGCTAGAATAATTCCCTACTTACTGTCTACAATGTTTATATTATCATTAATGGCTTTATTCATTATTATATGTTTGGTACAATATAAAATGTTTAGCACAAAGTATTTCGACAAGTCTCTTTTTCTTAGTTCTTGATCGATCCTGAAAATAAATATTGAATGATCGCCAGTTTAGATGTTAGCAGTTCAGGAATGAACATTTGATGTAATGTACATTCTCTTCGATTTACGTTGCTAGCAACCACAATATCTCTGATTGTGCTCTTTCCCAACTTGTACAGTGAAAAATCTTAAATTTTTCATAAATTCACCTGATTCGTTTATGCGATTAATAGACATAATAATGTGTTAAAATAGACAAAAGAAACATATAACTTGCTGAAATATCTAGATGTCAGGAAAAGGTAGCTCAGATACTCAAGCAGACCGGCAAATGTTATCCAGTGGCTAAGACCTGTTTCGAAGCATATTTATATTCTAAAATGCACCTATTTAATATGAGTCACAATAAACTAGTTTATTTTCGGTTTATTTCAATAGTTTATACAACTCAATGAAATCAAATACTTTCACAGTCTCTATCACAGTTAACCTTAGAGGATATCCTAATTCAGTTTACATATTTCTTATATAACTATCGACACATTCAGTATTAACTTGAAGCATCTTCAGTTACATATATGTATAAATCTATTGTCATTTTCTTATCTTAAACGATTATCATTATTCAGCCTTTTAATTATGATGTTATCGTTCTAGAGCCTATATAAGTCATTATAAGTAAAGATGGATAGTGTCTAGCAGTGGAATCCAGGACGCACCTTTTTTCCTACTCTGAACTCGTCATCTGGGTGTATCTGCATCTTACAACTGATGTTCACTCTAGGACTCAAACCCGGTACCATTCGTATCAAACGCCATCACGTTATCCACTTAGCTACTGAGTCCTGAAAGTCACCTGCTTGTGCAATGAAGTGGAGTTATATTCACTTGTTGTTGTTTACTTGAATCTTCTCATTGATACTTAGAACTGAAATTGATCAGTCTTTTATTGGCATATGTGTATACTGGGTTTATTGTTAGCCACTATCCATCTTTGCTTATAATGCTTATGAATCAAGGCAATATCGAGGTGATATGCACAGAATGCACATATGCTAATAAGAAACTGATCAATTTCAGTCCTAAACATCAACGGGGAGATACAATACCAAGTGAAATTTTACTCTAGAAGTCATGTTTAATATTTTGAATGTAAATTACTTATTGAATTTCTGTGATCCTGATAAAATATTACTAGTCACTTTGTCATTTTTTGTCCATTATCATACAGGATTTTGATGAATCAGATCTTGATTATACACGATCTATGATTTTACAAAATTGGGATTTCAATAATGATGGGAAAATTAGTCTAGAAGAAATGCGTATGCTTTTGTTGGCTTACAGTTCAAAAGACTCAAAAATGGATAGTGATAATTATAATTATAGCAATAATGGTTCTAAAGCCATCAATAAAAAAATATATATGGGTAAATCTAATCCAAGACATTCAACTGCGGAGAATATAGAACGTCAAAACATTATTAAAACCACTTGGTCGAAACGGAAATGAATAAAATATATGTAACACCTACTTTCTTGTGTTTATTTCTCTTACTTACAAGGTACTATTCTTCATTGAACAATTTGATTACCATAAACTGAGAAGATTCAGTAAAAAAAAAAAATTATGTGTAATTATTTGATAAATAATCGAAAGTCTATGCTATTTGGTTGTTGTAAATTTTTCTTTGTCAGTTAACACTACTTAATTTGTTATAAAGTAGTTCAATTTAATGTACTGAAAAATTGCTATCATGTGAACGTAGGAATAAAACGTTCTCTTCAATAACTTCATCATCAAGATCCACAACCATTAGTTATTAAGACAAACCTATGAGTAGTAGTTTACTAGTAAAGTAATGTCAGAACGTTGCTTTTTTCATGGAATAACTTAGTAAGGACATTAAATGAAAACTACACTTATTCTGAATGATTATTAAGTAGTTATCACTTAGATTTTCATAATCGATTAATGCTGATCAAATGATACAAAACAATGTTGTTACCAGTAATTAATAAATCAAAATGAACATCTCACTTACGCAAAAGTTCATTTGAAATCCGAACAGTTCACTGGTAACGTCACATAATAAGAGACAGTATGACGGATATTTGAATAATCTTGGGCTCAACAGCTACTTCAAGATTCTAACAACAACCTGCTGACAAGTTCCAATTAATATAAAAATTGGATCCAGGGTTTCTTAACCACTAATTCGAATTAAGTAACATAACAAGTACTTTTTATATGAACTGTGATGCATGTATATCTAATATACTTCTGAATTTTATACCTGACATTCGGAATGACTTCATAAATAGAAATAGTCAAAAGGTTTACATCAATTAATTGTGATGAGAATTGGGTTGTATAATTGTAAACTTCTAAATAACGCTTACTTTTGACTTTTCTAAATATGCGGAGGATCTATTTAGGTATGCTAAAAGAAATATACTTGTCAGCAATACTGGGAATTCATAAATGTCATTTATATTCAATAAATTCAGTTATATATGAAAGGAGAATTTTCCTTTCGATAAATTTCCATCAAATTTTACTATTATAAGTCCTTAATAATGACTGGAACATTTTTGTTTATAAACATTGGAATGACTGATACACAATGCAAACTTGAATCAATTTGTGGGTCTATTACCAATTACCCAACATACATAATTTGAACTAGTCCTTACTCAGAAGGGGTTTTGTGGATATTATAGTAATTTTAATAATTGTGATCATGAATCGATTGAAGCTAGACCACTATGGAAAACCTTAAAGCACTGACTGGCCATTTCATCCTATTGTGGGACTCCTCAGCAGTGCGCATCCACGAGAGATGTGGTGTAATGTCAAACATCGACAAGTTTTATTAATAACTTCTAGGGAGGTAGTGGAAATCGGAAAGAGGGAGCTGGAGTAGATATCCCTATAGTTTTCAAACTTTAAGGTCACAGATACACTTAACCTGTAACAAAGTCAGATCCAGTGTGTCAAATCTATAACTTCCAACGACCTGACATTTAAAAACACAAGAGAGCACGATATCAAATCACGCAGACCAGTGACTATGATAGAACTTGATCTGTAGAATTAAACCTGCACTTGTAATTGGAAACATATGCTCAATAGTTCAGCTAGTAATTAATTTTATCACAGAAAGTCTGTCATGTCAAATCTTACTATGGACATTTATACACATGAAAATTCTTGTCCTTTATTAGCAATATGAGAGTAGTTGACAGTAGATATGTGTATTTTATCTAAATGTTTATACAGTGTTATGTACACAATTTAGGATTGTTAACACTAAATATATCCGACTGTATGTTTACTTTTCCAGGAAAACTGAAATTTAGAATAAAATCAAACATAAGGTTTTGATACAACAGCAGAATATATAATATTATCTGTTTTCTATGATATACTACTTTCATAGGATTGTACGGTCAGTGGCCTGGATTTTTCTACCACTAGACTGAATACTCGGCTGATAAGATTTACGCAAGTTACATCATGTTATGCCAGATGTATGACTCACCACTAATTTCATAGGAAACAATTACAAGCAGTCTACACTCATTAAGTTCAGAGTAGGAATCAGTAACAGCAAGGAAAATACGTAATCACTCTATCCGTGTGTAAATGAACTGGGATGCCTCAATGAGAAACCTAAGTTTCAAGTACCGCTTTAGTTACAGTTTGAACATCCACGCTTTCCCAATGAATCGCCTTACGCCACTTTGTAAAACGATCAACCATAACCAAGATATACTTATTTTCCCTGTTGGTTTCCTGTAATGGCCGAATTGTGTTAAGTCTCACTATCTCGTTCGGGTCGCCTGGTCTCATATTTACTGAGGATACACGCGGGTTTTCGTTAAGGCTTTCAGCTATTTGTTAGATCTTACAAGCTCTAATATATTTCCCTATGTTCTCCCATTGTTTTGACCACTAATGTCTACGTCTGAAGGCCTCGTCACTTTATTTTAGCCTCCATGCCTCAAGTGTTCATGAACTTTGTCCAAGACACATCGATCATAAACCGTGGATCTACTGGTTGTCTCGAATAGCATGCTCCATAACGAAAATATTATACTTCATCTATTATTAGTAGTAGACACATACCTTCCCAACTCACACTTTTAATTTCTTCTAGAGGTGGCCGAGAACACTGGTTTTCATTACTACTATACACTATTGAAGTTTCTGAATCTATTGCCTGAATATGAGCACATTCAATATCTACTATAATTTTCAACTCTGTTATATTCGTTGTCGGAGTGGCGCACGAATGATAGTGTCCAAGAGGTACAACTGCTCTGTGTGATAATGCCTGGAATCTGTTACCGTTTACTGGGCCTATGAATACATTCGTGGTAGTATTTTTCTAAGCATTGAGTTGCCGATCACATTTGATTTCACTAGTCATACATCAGTTTTGAAGTTAAGTAATGTGCAGTGGTAAATAAATCCCAAAAATAAATAGCTATGTAAGTCTTCGACGTTGATGTTTACTTTCTTAGTTCTACCGGATGCCTCTAACTGAAGGCACTTGGTCACGCATCCGCACCAGATCACATGGGAGTGACCCATGTTACGCATCCCTTGAAACCGTTAATCATTCAAGACTAAACGCTTCCCAATATGCCGATAGTCTTTCAAATATAATTAAATAATTAAAGTCAGTCAAACTTGAAGAACTACTCCATTGTTCGTGTAAAATAGTCAGGTACGACAAGGAAATGTATGATTATAAGTGATAAATGTTTGGTTACATATAAGTGCCTGGTTTCCTGAACGGATTGGCAATCTGGAGGGAAACAGACACGATATCGTCACCTTGAGCACGAAAAAGCATCACTATTCTAAAAAAACATGCGTATAAACCTGCCAGAAGTTGTATTCATCAGTAACCTCGATTAAAATATATAACCTTGGGTCTGTGAGGACCGCCTTTTATAAACTGTTTCGTAACCGCAGATACAGAAAGTGTCTGTTGACCTAGAAAGTTAGAACATGCAGAGAAATAACTGATCACAGTGAGGCATCGATGCAAGGAAGAAGCGATTATGAAGCATTACTGGAAAATATGTGGGCCATGAGCGACACTTTTATAGCTGCCAGTGCATTCTCTCATGAATATATTCACATATCTGCGAGACCGCGACAGTGAACTGCATATCAGTCACATAACTTATGCTCTGCACTCCTGTGTGAGCATAGACAGCCGACCAGAAGTCGCCAACTAGCTCTGTCCTGAGACCTCGTTTCTGTTTGTCACTAAAATCTATTGATTTTTTCAATGTCTGCCTCCAATTCCCAGAACTATATGTTCTTTGACCTGCCTCTTTTCAGTGGCCTCGTGATGACTTCCTCAATGTGTATCCTGTTCACTGTCCTCTATTAATTTCATCTTTATTCGTATTGGAAATTCTGGCTGACAGTTGTTTTCAGATTACAGACAACCTTCAGTTGAAGGAGTGCTTCCCTTGCTTGTCAACCCGTGCCTCAATGTTTGAATCAGACCTTAAATGTTTATCCATGCTTTTAAAAATTTAGAGGCTCCATGGACTATGTAACAACAAAAGAAGCGATGATATAGTTTAAGTCATCACCTGTTAATGACAAAGCCAAATCTGAGCGTGAAGAAATGCTGGATAATTGGATAAGCATTAATACAAAATTTTGATGCAGTCTTCACTCAAGATGCCATCAAGCTCAGAGAGTTCAAGATAGCGCTCAGAAACAAGTTTCAAGTTTAACAAGATCTACCAAAGGATGAGACCAATCCGAATAAAAACTGGAATGGGGTTAACTTGGTAATAGCTTTGAAATGCCAAGTGCCGCTGGGTTTCTGAGAATACTGACACAAAACATAAATATTTGAAGACATCCTGGTCAAGGTTTGAAAACGTCAAAACAAGAAGACAAAAGTCAGCAACGGCTTAATTAGAACAAGGAAAGCAAAAGTACAAGCAGAAGATACAGAAGCAAACGAATGAGGAAGAAAGGCATTGGAGCTGACAGAGGGATATATATTCATCAGATCTGCTAACCATATCAGGAATAGCTGCAAGAGAGATATGATAAAACTATGTGATACAACTAGGAATCTAACGGGTAAATGTCGTAAAAGAGAAGAAAAAAAGTAAAGCTACCAAGAAGCTCAGAAGTAGCTAAAAAATGGTCTGAGAACTTTGAAACAGTTTTTAAATAGATTAACACTACAAAACATATGGAACGTCAGAGCACACACAAAGACCTTTTTTAAACTCTACTTTTGCTTGCATGGTAGGAAATTAGATAGACCTTTAGATAAATGAAGAACAGAAAAGCAGAGGATTTACACAGTATACTAGCTAAATCTCTGAGGTTGGACATAGATGTTACCGTAGAATTGTTTCATGTTCCTCCGGCATATACCGATAGACTGGAGAGAGAAATACCTTACCAAAAGATCGAAGGAAGAGGATTTAAGTAAATATTTGGACAGCAGATGCGTTACT